ATGATGAACTGTTGGAGAGGTGTCCAAAGTATATGAACATGGAGGAGACTGAGGCGGATTTCATGGCACATGATTGAGCTAAAGGATCCAGATGGTAAGGTATTCTCTAGACCTTGGAATGTTGCAAATCTCAAGAAGTATTACTTTTAGTTTGATTGTAATCTTGAGTTGCTTTTTGAAAAACTTATGATTTGGTTATTGAATCAATGAAAACTTTAATGTTGTTTATTGAATATTGGTGTTTTAGCTGTTGATCTAATGGAAATTTTGAAGTTGTTTATATATACAAGGTAAATTTTGAAGTTGTTTATGCAATATTTCTGTTTTGGATTGCTGAATAAACTAAGTGTGGATTGGCATGATTATGCATTGAGAAGCATTTTTTGAGTAAAATTTTCATTTGGCTAAGTGTAAACAGCTCGTAAGAAGATGCTACAAGGACGGCTTAAGGTCGAGCTCTTAGGAGCTTGGGTGCTGTTCAAAAGGTGTGACGGCTTAAGGCCGAGCTCTTAGGAGCTCGGGTGCTGTTCAAAAGGTGTGACAGCTTGAGGCCGAGCTCTTGGAGCTCGAGTGTTGTTCAATATGGTGTGACGGCTTAAGGCCAAGCTCTTGGAGCTCGGGTGCTGTTCAAAGGGTGTGACGGCTTAAGGCCGAGCTCTTGGAGCTCGGGTGTTGTTCAAAATGGTGTGACGGCTTAAGGCCAAGGTCTTGGAGCTTGGGTTCTGTTCAAAATGGTGTGACGGCATAAGGCCGAGCTCTTGGAGCTCGGGTGCTGTTCAAAGGGTGTGATGGCTTAAGGCCGAGCTCAGATCGGGTGCTGTTCAAACGGTGTGACAGCTTAAGGCCGAGCTTTTATGTGCTCGGGTGCTTTTCAAAAGGTGTGGCTGCTTAAGACCGAGCTCTTGTGAGCTCGGGCGCTGTTCAAATGGTGTGACAGCTTAAGGCCGAGCTCTTATGAGCTCGGGTGTTGTTCAAAAGGTATGGTTGCTTAAGGCCGAGCTTTTGGAGCTCGGGTGCTGTTCAAAGGGTGTGACGGCTTAAGGCCGAGCTCTTGTGAGCTCGGGTGCTGTTCAAACGGTGTGACAGCTTAAGGCCGAGCTCTTATGAGCTCAGGTGTTGTTCAAAAGGTGTGGCTGCTTAAGACCGAGCTCTTGGAGCTCGTGTGCTGTTCAAAGGGAGTGACAGCTTAAGGCCGAGCTCTTGGAGCTCGGGTGCTGTTCAAACGGTGTGACAACTTAAGGCCGAGCTCTTATGAGCTCGGGTGCTTTTCAAAAGGTGTGGCTGCTTAAGACCAAGCTCTTGTGATCTCGGGTGCTGTTCAAACGGTGTGACAGCTTAAGGCCGAGCTCTTATGAGCTCGGGTGCTGTTCAAAAGGTGTGGTTGCTTAAGACCGAGCTCTTGTGAGCTCGGGTGTTGTTTAGAGGGTGTAACGGCTTAAGGTCGAGCTATTAGAAGCTAAGGTGCTGATTTAAAGGGTATGGTGGTGTACGGCCGAGCTCTTTCGAAGCTTAAGGTTGACAGCCTTAGGCCGAGCTCTTTATGAGCTTGGGCTTGGAGGCCGACCAGATAGGTGATGATTTTAGTCCGAGCTACCCCACGAACACGGTCGCAATCTGCCCGCATAATGACCTAAGCCCGAGCTCTTGATGAGCCCAGGTACAATTTGGTGACGAGATGTAATGGAATCGAGCTCTTAATGAGCTCGGGTACCATTCGGTGACAATATGTCGTGAAACCATAAGGTGCTCGGCCTTAATGTGCTCGGGTACCATTCAGTGACAAGATGTAGTGGAACCAAGCTCTTAATGAGCTCGGGTACCATTTGGTGACAAGATGAAATTGAGTCTAGTTCTTAAGGAGCCTGATTATAAGATGGCTTAAGATCGAGCTGGTATAAGCTTGGTTGAGTTTCAAAGGGTATAATGGGTCTTAAGAGCGACGAGCTCATAACGTTCATGAGTAACCCAGCTATTTATACTTAACACCATTGCAAGTAGAGTTGTTATGGAGTATAAACGAGCCATCGATACTTAACACCATTACAAATAACTGTGAGTAGTCGAGCAACTTATGCACGGTAAATATAGGGTTCACAATGAGACGAGCTACTTGTACTTAGCCAGAATTTGAATTCAATAAGCACGAGTTCAAAATATGTAGCCCAAAGATGAACATCCAAAGAGCAAAGTCAACATACAACACAGTTAGGTTGAGGAATTACGATAAGAGCTCGGCGACTTGGATATCTCGAACGAAGTTCGGTTGATTTTAGCCACTGTTGATATTATCAAACAAGTCTATGTAGTTCAACGAACAATAGCTCATTTGATAATGGGGGGCTAGATTGATATGACACATAGTAATGAGTTCGGTGAACCGGAGAGGATCTGCTCGGTTTAAGCAGCTGGAGCTAGGTCTGGAGTCCAGTAGCATTAATAGCTCGGCTTCCACAATAGGATTATTGTGGGTTCGGCCTCATGTTAACAGCTCGGCTCTTAGTGGATCGGCTTTTAGGTTGAATGGGTTTCTTAGCCATAGTACAGTTGAAGAATTGCAATAGGAGCTCGGTCATCTGGATAATTGCTCGATAATTCGGACAGAACACCATGTGGGTGACATGTCAATTTTGGTTTAGGGATTATAACAGGAGCTCGGCGGGTTGGATTTTAAAAGCTCGACGTTTGGGATTTTTAACCAAAACTCGGGTTGATGAATTTGGGATAGGAGCTCGGTTGTTTCTGCTTGGATGAGGAGTTGAATGGAGTAGTTTGGCTTTTATGTTTAATCAGCTCGGATTCTACTTGGTCAAAGGGTTGGAGTAACTCAGTTTCTCTGCTCAGACAAATAGTTGAATTTAAGTAGCTCGGCAACTCGGAAGACGGTATAGAGCACGGACGAATAACAGGAGCTCGGAAGTTAGGGCATTTCAATCACAGCTCGGCAGTACGGAGATCACAATTGTAGTGTGACAGGAGTTCAGTAATTTTGATATTATAGTATGAGCTCGGTAATTCAGATTTTCGGTGAAAAGGTTGCAGCAGGAGCTCGGTATTTTGGGTATCCTAACTCTAGCTCGGTAATTCAGATGCTCGGCTGATGAATGGTAGCAGAAGCTCGGCCTTTTTGAGATAAGATGTTCAAATCGAAGCTCGGCCAATCAGATGCATTGGAGCTCGGTAGTTTGAGTTTTCTAGTGACAAAAGGAGCTCGACCAATCAGATTCATCGGAGCTCGGTAGTTTGAGTTTTCTAATGACAAAAGGAGCTCGCCAATTTCGGTTGTATACGCTGCTCGACGTTTCGGAGGTTACAATTGTAGTGTGACAGAAGTTCGACAATTTTGAGATTCTAACAGTAAGAGCTCGGTGATTCGGATTTTTAATCAGAGCTCGATTTAAGTTTTTAGGAGCTCGGTGATTTATCAAACAAGTCTATTTGGTTTAATGAACAATAGCTTATTTGATAATTGGGGGACTAGATGATATAGCATACAGTCATAGCCCGGTGAACCGGTGGTGATTAGCTCGGTTCAATAAGATTGAAAGGAACTCGGTCAGATGAGGCTGATGGCAGCTCGGCCTTGTAAAGTTGGTAGAAGCTCAGTCCAAATTACCAGCAGCTCGGTCTTGTGAAGTTGGAAGGAGCTCGGCCTTATGAGGACTACCAGCAGCTCGGCCTAAATTACCAGCGGCTCGGTCTTGTAAAGTTGGAAGGAGCTCGGCCTTGTGAGGACTACTAGCAGCTTGGCCTTGTGAAGTTGGTAGGAGCTTGGCCCAACGAGGATTACCAGCAGCTCGACACCACAGAAATAGTAACAGCTCGGTTGTATGTGCTCGGGAAAAGTAGTCCAAGGCTAGGAACCGAGCAGATGCAGTAGGTAAGAAGAAACGGTTATAAAGGACACGTGTAGCGTCAGGATCAAAATGGAATAAGTGATCTGACGAAGGAGAAGCAAAGCGTAGGGAGTAAGCAAGACAAATTCACATAAATAGGTAAAGGGATGAAGGAGGTAAGGGGAATCAATCTACAAACCCTAAATTCTATACACAGCTTTCCTCTATCTTCTTCTATCTCCTACTAACTTGAGCGTCGGAGGTTTACAGCCGAGAGCACCTCCCGGCGTCTTTGCAGGTCTTGGAGCGGTCGAGGAATTGAAGGGAAGCCGGTTCATGTATAGGAGCACATCAAAATTAATAAAAAAGAAAAACATAAAACCAAATTCTTAGCAATATATATAATTTTTTTTTATTTAAGGTGAACAGAGTAATTTTTTAACTAAAGGCTCACAGCCAGTGTGGTAATGGAATCCAAAAAATAATATTTTTAACATATTTGTATTTATGAAATTTGATTCGACTAATAATAATTTTATGGTTAAAAATTTGTACAAATTTAATTTTAACTTATGCTATTCAATTCCAAATTTTGTTTCATTCATTATAATTATATCGCTATATTTAATATTTTTATATATAATTATTTTATGTTGTTAATTTTTATAAATATTTTCTAAAAATGAATGTCAAACTAAAAAAGGAACACAACTTAGATGCTGCTAATTGGACTTCAATAGTTTAATTGCTTGAAGACTACACTTAAGAATCGAATTTACACATAAGTACATAACCCATAACCGTTAACCATCATCATGTTTCTTTGGAGTTTGGACACGTATTCCTAATAAACTACTCCCCCTGAAATTTCCGTTACAAGAAAAAAAATAAAGGAAAAGATGAACAATTGATTGATCAGTTAAAAAGAGCCAAACTGAAACCGTCCTAATAAAAACGAGAAAACACCCACCAAAACTCCAAATTTCACGCTTATATTAAACCTTTGCGTCTCAGCAACATATCCTAACCGGATTAAGTGACGTCCCACGACGCTTTTCCTT